ACAGATAGGGGTACAGACTGCAATTCTCCCAGCATGCATTGCTTGTTCAGCCAAATCTCCCCTGCCTTATGTCTTGTCCCCAAGGGTACATTTAATCTGAATAAGACCAGTGACAAGTGTAAGCTAAACGGTAAGGTTCACAATTGTAGCACTGGTCCACTTTATGCCTTGGATCTAGCCCTCGCTGCTCGGTCACTGCAACTTATTTTTAAAAGGACATGTTTCTTTCTCTTCCTCTCCTTGATCCTCTCTAATATCTCTGCTCCCTAATCTCAGGGGAATAGGATCACCTTTCTTCCCCATCCTAGGCAGAGCTATCTGTCCTGGAGCACAGCCACCACAGGAATGAAGCAATCTAGACTTTGGCGATGGCACCTGAAGATCTCCCAAATTAACCAGTGAATCACACCTCCAATGAAGAACATGGGGATGTAGCCTCGAATCACCTCCATAAAACCCCCCAGTTCCTTCTGACGGACAGAATCACAGCCTCTAACAGGACTCCCCTGGGTTTCTCTTTTGCTAGCAAAGCAATAAGCTTTTTTCCCCCCTTTTCTCAAAACCACTTCCGCAGTATTGGATTGGCATCAGGGACAAGGACAGAGCTTTCTGCCAGAAAAAAACGATAACTCCAAGATTCTGCTTTAGTCTCTGCTTTGATCACTGAACTTTCACTCAGCGGGGGAGAGTGACAGGGTGGCCACTTGGAGAGCTGGAGTGAAGCATGACTAGGTCCCTGTGCAGAGCCCGGCACAGTGCCACACTCCTACTGGTTCAGAAGGTGGCTTTTGAAGGGCTGGCAGCACCAGCAGGTGCTGACCCCCCAAGTTTCCTTGTTTTGAATCCCCAGCACTCTGAGAATGGTGGTCACACACAGCGAGATCCGAGTCTGGCTTCGTAGGGAAAACTCCCAGTCAGAAACTGGTCTCGGATCTGGGTGCAGCCCAGGGCCAGGGTCTTCCAACCTAGAGGTGGGTTTTCACAAAGTCCCTGAAGATCCAGTGCGATGTGTGAATGGCTGAGGAAAGGTCAGGTTCCTGATCAGCTGCGCTGTACACCTGCAGAAAGACCTGAGACAGGGACCTGGGGGGTGTGGGGGGGTCACAGGTCCTGAGGAATTACCTGCCCTTTTGTCCAAAGGGATCTGTTGAGCATCAACCAAGGTGGTGAGGCACCCTCTTAGAGGCTGGGAGCTAAAAAAATGAGTAAGACCTTGTCACTGCTGACTCTCAGGTTACAAAGGGAGATGACAGTTTTACAAAAATGTGTTGGAAAACAGAATAATGAGCACTGTTATCAGGGCCAGTGATTGGGAGAAGGGTGGAGTTTTTCCTGTTCTTGGGAGAGGAACTAGAGAGGTTGTCACTTCATATAAACCTCCCAGGAGTGGTCTTTAAATTCCATCAACCTTGATGCAAAGGAGGACCCAAGTCTTTTGTCCTGAGAGTAAAAGGAGCTTCCCTGTCACGCCCACTATTGTTAATTCCAGTGGGAGAAGACTGCAGAATGGCAGTTAAGTGTCACAGGCATTTACGCCTTCCAATATTTGCTCACACAGGCAGAATACTTCCCTCAAAGGAAATGAGGTTCCTTCACGGCTATGGGAGTCTGATTCTACTAGGAGGGATCTCAGGGTCAAACAGCAACAGATCTCTTCAGCAGGAGATCCAGACACTCCCAGAGGGAGCTTTCTCTGTATACCCAGCAGATCTCAGTGGTATCTGGTCTGGCCATTCTCGGGTTAACTTGAGGACACTCAAGGTGACTTCCTCTTAGTGCGGACAACTCAGGGAAATTTGCAAAAATTCTAAAACAAATCATTTTGGTTTTACTTGAATTGCTTTTGAAAAAAGAGTAAGAGACGTCCTGTCCCTCATTAACTAGGGCTTCTCTGGAGGCAGTGGCAGAGCGGGAGGAACCTGTTGAGAACCTCAAAGGCTCCAGCCTTTGAGATTCGGAGCGGAAGGTGGGCTCAGGAAAATGAAGTGTCAGCTCCTGGAGCCAGGTCCCAGCATCACTGCCCAAGCCAAGTCTGCCTCTGAGTTCCTGTTCTTTTTTTTTTTTTTTTCTGAAGCCCAACTCCAAGGCCTAAATCCTTTTCCTTTCTTTGAGCTTAGACTACCTCTGTCCACTCTTGGAAGAAAGCTGCCCGGGTTTCCCTGGCAGGTTCCTCAGCCCCCCAAAGGCGAGCGGGGAGGCCTTTCTCATTTTGATGAGCTTTGTTTCTTTGGCCATCAGGAGAGCCCAGGAGGTAACAGAACGGATACATATGCTGTGTGTTTTTCTTCTTTACTTTCTATAGATCTCTCTATATTTTGGCTATGAACCACCAACTTTTAAAAGGCAGCACAATAAGTTTTTCCAACATTTAATATTTTTGTTCCATTTGACTTTTTTTTAGAAAAAAAAATTTTTTTTTCCACTTCACTTGCTTTTTTAGTTGCTAGCATGGAAACCAACTCTTGGAAAGCTCAATCAACAATGACAAAAACAACAGCAGCAAAGGAATGTGTGAGGTGTAGATACTTCAAGAGATCTGCTTTAAATTCATGGTCAGGATCCCCTCCAAGCAAGAATCTCCAGTGGAATTTGGTTACATCATTCTAGAACAGTGTGAGACAAGTCCAATGTTTGCACTGAGATCTTCCTGTCTAAGACCAAGGTAGCATGCTCCAGTCTCTTTCCCTGAGGAGAATTTTCATGTATACCTTAAGTTTCTTCTTGATATTCTAGAAACATATATTTGAATAACAGCAATGAACAAAATATTATAGTTCAAGAAACTCAAGCCAGTCAAGGTGGGCCGTTCTTCTAAGGAAACACCTGGGAAAAGGTGCCTTTGTGTACATCAGAGAAAATGCTAGAAATACCCTAGAGATCAAGAGTAGGAGGTTGGCCTGGTGTGGTGGGACACCAGAGACTCAGGAGGCTGGGGGCAGGAGGATGGCAAGTTGGAGGCCGGCCTGACTTTAAGATAAAAAATAGAGGGCTAAGGATACAGCTCAGTAGCAGAGCTTTCCTAGATTCAATCCTAGTACGAGGGTGTGGGGGACTAGGAGATTGGTGAAACAATTAATGAATACCCAAAATTAACACATTCAGAATTGGAGCTATCACTGCAGCTTATAGCTGGTGTAGTCATAATCAGAAGCTCCTTTGTTTGATACCACAGTTTGCTCTTTACCCCAAGCAAAGCAGCCTTCCCTACCACAAAATAAAAAGCATTTCTCATTCATTTCATGTGGGCTGCTTCTCCTGGTGAATAAGCCAACAATTTGGAGAAGCAGCTCCCACAGAGCAACTTGTACCATCAGGCGAAGGGATGCTTTCTTTTTAATAATAATGAAATTTAACACTTATAGTGTGCTCAGTTCCAAAAGGTGCAAAGGCTTAAATCCATTGTCATTCAAACTTCCATTCAGTCCCTGGAGGTGGTGACTGCTAATTTTATGAACGTGGGGCGCTTGGATTTACATCCATCTTCCAAATAAGGTGAGGACGCCACTATAGGTACCTTCTGTTTTCATCTTTAAAAAGATGTACACTGCTTGCAATTTTAAAAGGCCTGACACAGAAAGGTAACCAAACTAGTGCTGATTTTTTTTTTCATGGCCCAAAAGAAATTATTCATCTGAAGGAATTATGTAATGTATATCTTTGAAAATCATAAATTAAAACAATCTGGGAGAATTTAACACAATTCCTTGAAATGTTATGGATTGCAAAGTTAGCCTGAGTTGGAAGTTCTAAGCTATTTTCTCTTCCTATGTAGGTTTTGTACACATAGTATATACATGTTGGCTTTACAAAAATACTTGTTTTTCAGCTGTCTTCCAGAAAGGTTGAGAATATTTTGTCTTTGTGGTAAAGTGGAGTTTATTTTTAAAAGATGGGGTGGGGGTGGGGACCCATCTGGGCTAGTTCTTTGCCAGGGACTTGTTACTCTTTTCCTTTTACCCTTCTGTAGTGCTGGGACAGAATCTAGAGCCCTGACAGGCCAGGTAAGCGCTTTACCACTGAGCTGCACCCCTACCCCCTGCTCTTGTTTATCTTTAAGTGAAAACCATTCCAGTATTGTTTGGACTCATACTTCTAAGAAGGGAAAGAAGGAAGTGGTAAACACTGAACACAGCCTTAATTCCCTCGATTAGTGGCATGGGTGATAAGGAGCAACTTGCTTTAGAGTGCCCCAAAAGTATATGCGGGCAGGGCGCCCTGTCCTTCAGCGTTCTTATTTTAACCAAACCGGACCTCCAGGCGGGAGAGGGCAGTTCAATTTGTAAGTCCCCTGGCTGCTTTTTAACAGGCCTTTGGAAAGGCTAACACAAGAACTGTCGACCTTGAAAGGGGAAATTCCCAGTGAGAATTTATGCATCTGTAGCTAGTTACAGAAAAAGGTAAAAAGTAAACCATTATCTGGGGTGTTTTTGGCTTCAGAAAGAAATCCCCAAGTACAGAGCGAAGCCGGTGAGGCCAGGTTCTCTGCCAACTCCGGGTGCCTTCAGGTGCGGACTCTTCACCAGAAATCGCTGCTTCGGTCCCACCGCCCTTCCTGGCCAGGTTCTGGGGCAGAGGTCGTTCCAGCTCATCTGGCGACACTGGAAGACACTGGGTGACCACAACAGTGTGTCGGGCCCAGCGCAGTGTGGCAGTAGGGGTCCAAGGGCTTCAGAGTTCGAGTCTCTCTGGGGCCCATATCGCTAACCGGGGATTTTGGACCAAGTTGCCCACCGGTGCCCCTCGGCTTGCCCGGCTGCGCCTGGGGTCCCCACGCCTCGTCTCCAGTGGTTGCATCCGCACTGTGTCGTTCCTCTTTGGACGAAGGTCTCCCACGAGTTGGCACCTGGTGGACCCACGAAGATAGGCGCAAAAGAAGGAAGGAAAGGAGGTGGGTGGGCGGAGTGGAGGTTATGGTCTCCGGGTCGGTCCCGTGACCCATGGCACTGCTTGTCAGGGCAATGACCCGGGGTTCGGGAGGTCCTCACCAGGCGCCTACACGCTCCGTCTCTTCCACTAGAAGACGAGTCACGACGCATCTACCTCCCCAAAGCGAGGGGCTCTCTGGCAACCGTCCCATGCTCTTCCTCCTCAACCCGCACCCAGACACTGAGAGGCCAGGCTCGGCCTGGGGGGTAAGGTCGGGACCCCTGGTCGACCGCCCTGGCCTGCGGCCCTTCTCTCAGCTCTTTAGGGCCCAATCACTGGTTTCCAGGGTTGATCTGTCACAGCTCTGTAGATCCCACCCCACGTGACATTGCCCAGAGGCGGGGAGCGTGGGGTCCCTCCTGGCTCGGTTCGGTTGCAGATCCTTTCCACCTAGATGCTCCCCCCAAGTTCCTAACACCCCCCTACTCCCCAGGATTGCTCTTTTCCGACCCACCGGCAAGCCGTGGCTGGCCCGGTTCTGCGTGACTTGCGGTCTCTGTCAAGCCCTCCATCCCTCCGGGGTGAGGCTCGCCCACGGCAGCGACAAGCCCCCAGTTCAGAGGGGCAGCACCGGCTGGGCACTGTTCTCCCCACCGGCCCGGGACCTCCGGGAACGGCTTCTTTCGCTCGTGCACCCCAACTCCGCGAGCGGTGCGCCCGGGGATTCCCCGGCCTTAGGCGGCCACGGCCGGGGCAGACTTGGTCCCGAGTCTGGGCTCCCGAAGGTGACGAAACGGGCTCCGAGCTTCGTCAGCGGCGAGAGAAAAATGCCCCCACTCGGGCCCCGGGGCCTGGAGCCCTCGGCGGGGGCGAGTCCCAGGGGCTGGTGGTTTTCCAAGTTGGAAGCGGGCTCGGCCCTCAGCGTGCCCTGACCCCACCTCCGCCCCTGTCCCCAGGGGGCCGGTAGAGGGCGGGGCGGGGCCGCTCGTCGCCCCGGACGCTGGCTTTCGCCTTCTGTAGTTACTGCTTCGGATTCTCCCGCGCGCGCCCTTCTCGTCTCCGGGCAAAGCCGCTGGGTGACGGTCCCCGCGGTCCGGCGAGGCCCGGGCTCGCTCTGAACTCTTGCCAGGGACGCGCCCCGCCCGCCCGCGCCGCGGAGCCTCTGCCCCGCCCGCAGCCGCCCGCGCCGCGCTCGGAAACCCCCGCGGCTCCTCCCACCCCCAGGGGCTTTTCTCCAGTCTCCAGTGACTTCTCCGGAGCGCAGCCGCCTGGCGCTTGTTTCCGCCGGGCTGGAGCGCTCGGGCCACTGCTTTTCTGAGGACGCACGGGGCGAGGAACGGTGACCTCGGTACGCGTCCCGCGTCCGCGTTTTCCGGCCCGCGCGGGGACCCCCGGCCCGCGCCCCGGCCGCCAGCATGGTGCTGCTGGCCGGGCCCGGGCCGGAGGGCGGCGGGGCGCGCTGCTTGTCCCCGCAGCCGCCGACCGCACCCCGGGGCACGGAGACCGGGGACGACCCAGCGGACTACGAGGAATACGAGGACTTCTCGAGTCTGGCCGACACCCGCAGCATTGCTTCGGACGATTCCTTCTACCCTCCCGAAGGCGAGGACGAGTGCAGCGAGGTGAGCTCGGACAGCGTCTCGGAGGGCTTCCCGGAGGCAGCGACCTTCCTGCGCGCCGCCTGCGCCAACGACGTGGGGCTGCTGCAGGCGCTGGTGCGGCGGGGCCCGCGCGTCGAGGAGGTGCAGGAGACCGACCGCAACGGCCGGGTAAGCGGGCGTCCCCGCAGGGCTGTGCTCTCTTCGCTCGGTACCCTCTTTCGCCCCGGCACTCCGCAGATCCAGGCCCAGGCCGGCCCCGCGGCTACCCCGGCCAGAGCGCCTTTTGCTCTCGGTCCGCGCTCGCGGCTGGTGCTGGGCGGGTTCGCTCTGCCGAAAGTGCCTCGCGACGGGAGACGCCGCCACCCCGCTTCCCAGGGCATCCACCGCCCGACACCGCCCCGTGCTCCCTGAATTGGCCCTGGAGGCCGGCGCTGGAGTCTTGTGGGGCCTCTTCAGCCTTTTCCCCATCTGATCGCTACCTTTCCTCGGGAACCTGGTAGGCGACCCCGAGCCCTCGCCTGCAGGGGACAACCCTTCCTGACCAGCGCCCCGTTTGCCCTCTCTGCCCTCTCTCTGGTCTTGCCCCAAAACTCTGCTCTCAGGTCTCTCTGGTCCGTTCCTCCCGGGGCCACCAGGATTTGGAAGCGACAGTTCCTTTCTTTACACAGACATACTATTCTTTCCTACCGCTGTTCCTAGTGGCCCGCGCAGCCCCCTGCCAGTATGATCTGTCGCCTGGTCACCGCCAGGAGCCAAGGCCCAGCAGCCCCCACTTCTGGCTAGACAGGGCCCTAGGGGAGCAGCCACGCACACCTGGATCGGGCAGGTGGGGTTGGACCGTAGGAGGCACAGAGTACCCGTTAATTATGCCAAGGTGTTGAAATCCACAAATGTTCAGAAAAAAGTTGGCTTGAGACGACAGGAGAAGGGCTGGCTGTGGAACAGAAGCCACCCAACACTTCCACCGAGAAACTGCAGGGTGACCATCCTGGTCATGTCCCCATTAACCTCTCTCTGCTGGGTGGACAAATAGCAGTGTGTTCTCACCTGATTTTCATATCCCCAGACTAGCAAAGCAGGGGTGCAGGTGCCTCTGGGAGCCTGCAACTGACAGAAAATATGCGATTTGATTTTGGGACCCAGGTGACCGTTGCTTTGGCCTATGTTGGGGCACAGGGTGCAAGGTGGTTGGCCCCTTTGTGGTCTGGATGGGCTTTACAAACATGGGAAGCAGCGAGTGTCACTTTTGTTTGTGCTGATTTGACACAACAGTTGTCAGGCGGGGAGAACTAAGGAGGGGACCCAAGGTGGGTTCCCAAGGCCAGCACCACCCCAGTGGCCTGTAGTCGTGTCACTATTTGGCACTGGAGGGGGATGCTGCAGCCTCCCCCTTCTTCTCCAGGTAGCTGTGAGTCCCTCCTGAGGCTCAGGTGGCAGTTTTTCTGGCTCTACTTTCAGTTTAACCTAGTGGGAGTTCCCAGCTCAGATGCTCATCTCCCCTCCCTGAAGCCAGTGCCATGGCCAGCTTTAAAGGAACCTCAGGAAGGTCACAGGTAGGGTAGGTCCTCTCTCTGTGGTCCCACTGGGCTCAGCCTCCGCTCTTAGCTGCCACAGGGCTCAGCTTTACTAGGTCTCCTTTAATGACAAAAAAAAAAAAAAAGTTTGAAAACAGCTGAGAAAAGTGACAAGAATGTAAACAGGTCCTGGGGGCTTAGGCTAGACAGAGAGTCCTGGGACCCCTTTGAAAGCCCCTTCTCAGGGAGTGTAGGGGTGGGGAGGGGGGCTCCAGCATCTCTGCCTCAGTTTCTTCCCCTGTAAATAGGGTTACTGGCGGCCGGTGCCCCCTGGGTTGAAAGCACAAGGCCTCATCCTGCTCGTGGAGCTCCGAGAAGCGGACACGAGGCCGTGAGGGGCTTGTCCCGTTTCTCACCCCCCCCCCCCACCTTTGCTCACCTTCCAGCTTGGCCTTGTGTTTTGCCAGGTGAAAGCTGTCTCTGCTTTTCTTTTCTCTGGACTGTGAAGGTGGAAACTCATCACGCTTGTTTCTTTGCTTTGAGTCTCCTCTGTACCCCATCCGAGGTCAGGGCCCTGGGCTCCTTAATCTCCCATCAGAAGGAGCAGGGCCCTGTGCTGTGCTGTTCAGGGGACAAGGCAGGGGCTTCCCTTCTCCACACTGGCTTCGTGATGCTGCGGGTTACACAGCCTCTGTGTCCCTGAGAAGCTGCTGAAAGGATCCAGTGTGGCAAGGTCCAATGCCCAGACCCATGGAAGACGGGCAGAGCCACGGCAGAAGTGTTCACTGAGACTGACTGGGTGCAGGGGTACTTCAGGAGGCTCGGGTGAATCCAGCAGCCCCTGCCTGTGAGCATCTTGGCACAGTAGGGAGAGAGGAACTTGAGAGCGAGCCAGAGCTTCCCGTAGAGGCTGGGTATGAGATGGGCCTCCAGAGACATGCAGAGTGAGGACAGTCCTGAAGGCCCCGTGAGAGCTGAAGGGGGCATGGACCAGGGGACGGAGGACATTCTAATCGGGCAGGTGAGTTGAGGGGGTGGTGGCAGCTGCAGCGTGGTTGGTCCTGGGTGGTGTGAGAGGAGGGGATGTGGAAAGCAAGGCCAGAGAGGCTCTCCTGACCAGGTTGAGTGGGGCGTGGTCGTGCAGGCCTATAATCCCAGGGACTTGGGGGACCCCAAGTTCAAGGCCAGTCCTGGCAACTTAGTGATGGGCTGGAGACGGAGCTCCGTGGTAGAGTTCTTCCCCGGCTTGTACAAGGCCCTGGGTTCAGTCTCCAGCCCTGGAAATAAGAAGAAAAAACAGGGAATTGGGAAACAAACTGGTTTAGCATGTCAGTGGCCCAAAGTGGGGCTGTGGTGTCACATGGCTTGCCCCCTTAGGGCCTGCAGGTTTCCGTTTGAAGAGTTCCATCTCTGGGAGTCCTTTTCCGTTTTCCCCCACCTAAGCCAACAAGGCCCGGGAGGTAGTTACAGGCAATCCAGGTGCAGACAGTGAGGGCTGAGACTCGAGATGGGATGGTGAGTTGACAGAGCAGGTGACACTGGAGCAAAGGACAGAGAAGGTCTCTGAAAAAGAGCCTTGAGGTAGACGGAAGTGGCAGTGCAAAGGCCCTGAGGGAGAAACCTCGCTGTGGCCTGGTCTGCGAGTTCATCAGGAGTAGTGACCCCGAGAGCTTGGTGAATAGAGGGGTCATCACATTAATGGCAGAGGGACAGCGTCAAAGAGCCAGCTTCCCGGGGGGTGCGTGGGGGGTTTCTAAAGGCTTCTCCACTTCTTTGCTGGTGTGTTGAGTGGTGCTCTGCCTGTGCCAACAGGCATTCCATTAGGCTCGGGCGACCGAGGATCAGATGTGTTTGTTTAAGAAGACGTGTACTTTCCTGCCTCCTGACATGAGTAGAATACGGGATGTGGCTCGGCACACTGTTTTCCTTCTAGAATATTTATTGCTCTAAAAGGATTGTGTGGTTTAATATGCAACAAGTGGATGGGTGTCAGGTGATTCGCTGACAGCGTGCAGTGCGGCTCCCGCCCTCGTCAGGGCTTAGGATTATCCTGTTGCCTCTGACGTGGGGACAGTGGAAGTGGCCATAATTCTTTTTCTTAATTCTTGTCCTCCTTGTATTACCGCTCGAGAGTCTCGGCTTGGTGGCCCCTTAGGTGGCAACGAAAATGAAGGAAGTGCTGTGCTGTTTTAATTGTCACAGAAGGACACTTTGCATGGCAGGCAGCTCCTGAACCAAATTAGGCCCAATCATGCTGACTTTAAAACAGTGCACTGCTCTCTGGGTGGCGTTCGGTGCCTGCAGGTTTAAATGACAGGCCCTTAGTCCCTTCGGTTCTATTAGCAGAGCAAAGCCAGACACCCAGGATGGGCGTCTCCTTTCCTCGGGGGCTTCCATTCGAGTTCTGCAGATTCATAGCTGTGATCAGATTTTATCTTGAAATATACTTGAGAAATTTATCTTGATGTCATTCATTGTTCGAGTGCTCCAAACAGATTTATAAACTGTGGAATCACCCGGCCTAAGACGAGGCTTACATTATTGCAGCCCATGGGCCGCCCCCTGCCCTCACCAGGCCTTGCACTCACAGCCTGCATGAGCATGGAGACAGGGTGATTACTCCCATTCTTGCTGGTTACTGTAGAAAGTGGACAGGCCTCATGTCTCTCCACGATTACTGGGGTCCAGTGGGCACTAAAAGAGTCTTGTTTGCTGTTTGGGAACATACGTCCCTGTTGTAATTGTTGCATCCTCAAATTTTGGGGTGTAGAAAAGCCGGTGACAAGGGAGATTGGAGTAGAATTCTAGACTCACAGCCCCAGGGACTGGAACAGAAGTGAGTCAGTTTCGGTGGCCTGGGAAGACTTGGGCCTGTGGCAGGCAGTTAACAGATGTCCACCACTTCCTCCTTACTGACCATGGTGGGCTGCTCCAGGTCCAGCAGCAGTAGAGAGACCCATGTGCTTCTCATACAGGTGTGTCATTTATCTGTGGCCACAGTAGTGCTGCATATGTTAGTCAGCCTGTTGTTACTGTAATGAAATACCTGAGATAATTAACTCATAAGGGGAAGAAGTTTATTTTGGCTTACTGTTTTGGAGCTTCCAGTCCAAAATTGGGTAAACCCATTGCATTGGGCCTCACCCATTTGCTTCTGGTGGGGGTGCCAGGTGCAACGTTCGGGAGCACGTTGGTGGAGCATAGTGCTTACCCCTAGAGGCAGGAAGCAAAACAGAAGAGGAAGAGACCAGGGGCTTGCAATTTCAACCTGTCCTCCTCTTTCCCCCAGCACTGGGAATTGAACCCGGGGCCTTACAAACTGACTTTACATCCCAAATCCTTTTTTAAAATTTTATTTTGAAATAGGATTTTGTTGCGTTGCCCAGGCTGGCCTCAACTTTGCTATCCTCCTGTCTCTGCCTCCGAGTAGTTGGGATTACAGGTGTGCACCACTGTACCTGGCTTGGAATCCCTTGGAGGGAACATCTTCAATGACCTCAGGACCTCCTGCCAGGCCCCACCCCCTAAAGTCTGCACCACCTCCTAAAAGCACCACCCTGAGAACCCAAACTTTAACACATGGGCCTTTGAGGGACACACAACTATGAAAGCCCACGGGGGTGTGCCACGGTGACCATTTTGCCAAGGTGGCAC